CGAATATAACCGTATTCTAAGGCTAATCTGTATTTCAAACAAATGGTTATATTAGGTTTTTTTTTTAAACAAAGACAAGGTTCCTCTCCTCAAATTATTCCCTGTACATATTCTATATTTCTTTTTGAAATTTGCGCTTTATAGTCTTTGGACACTTACGTAGGACTTCCCTCGCTTGTTGTATCGTGAATGTATTCGAGCGATATGGCGAACTGCTTTTTACCTATGCAGTAAAAACTACCTTTTCCTTCATATGCACGCATGCTGTTGTAATAATAGAGATTGTCTAGTGTTTTTCTTCAAATAGTCGCTGTCGGATGATCCGGAGATGCTTCGTTTTGGGTACATAGTACTTCATTCTGCCAAGTATCGTTAGTATCGTTCTCGCCCACCGCTGCCCTAAATTGTGTTTTCCTAATAAGCACGGTTATCTCATTGTCCTGGATTTGGAACCAGATGAGGAACGAACCACCGAAAGGCCGTACCAACATTGCTTGAGGATTTTGACGTTTGTGGCTGTAAAATATCAAGTAAAGTATGGATGCAGCTATGGGTTTCCAAAAGAACTGCGCGCTTCAGAAAAGCTGTTGTGCTTTCTTAAATGTACTTTATCGCGAAGTCTTTTTTTCATTAAGATGAATAGCGTAATCTGAGCAGTTTTCCTTGATTGACATAGCGAACGTTTTGTTATCATCGTTATCCGTCGTGTTAAGAGTTGAATAAATACTCCTATCGTGTCTAGGCTGATATTTTTACATGTCCGCGTTCTGGCTACTGCTTTTTCCATCTCGTAATTACTCAAGCCGTGACTCCATCAATCCATCAACATGCTTAGTTACGCGCGTCCAGCGTGCATATCAGTCAATTTGTTATCGATAACCTCTGTGAAGCTGGTCTCAATGGAGCCTAAGACAATGACGCCCATTACCAGGCAGTGCCGTTAATCAACGTCAGCCCTCTTAGAGAAGTGAATGCGCAAAAGGGGAACGTCCGATAATATGCTTTTTGTATCATTTTCAAGTAAGAAGGATAGCTCTTAATACATCAATAAATCTTAGGGCAGACCTTTAGATGACATTATATATAAAACATAACAGTAAACATTGTGGCTTTTTTCTAATATTAGCTATTGATTTAACCTCTTAATCGTGTTCGCACACAAAATTCGAATCCAGTTTACTCTGCGAGCTTAAATCGTTGAAAGATGTGAATAGAAGCGATTTACGAAACGGTGCCGGAGCTGGGAAAGACGATGACGGATGGTTATCCACGCCGTTATTGTAGTAAGGACTGTCCTAGGACAGCGAATAGCCCACCCCTTAATTAATCGTCGGTTGTAAAACCCCGCGTGGCGCTGTGCTTAGGTATAGGAAGCAGGACAATTACGTACTTTTAACGTCGATTTCCCTATTTTCTCAATAAATAGTCCTGTAGTTTTTAACCCGACATCGAAATTTCTAAGCCAACAGCAACTAATTCAAGCGTCCCGTATCAAATTATATGTATGTTCTATTAAGAAAGTCACGGCTTAGCCAAAGGTAATCATGCTTTCTTCATGGGTTTAGAAGCCAAAGTGGTTGTACAGATAACCACTTTTAATCGAAAGCGTAATGTCTAGATAATGGTATGACAACGGTTGCGTATCGTACGCGATAGAAATAGATATCTATTATCCCTCAAAGGAGTTTCATGGGGATAGTATACATTGTAAGTTCTTCCCATACAATTTTTACCGTTTGTTGCCATTCTAAGGGTACGTATTTGTAGAAAAAAATATGTGCTTATTTTTTCTGTGAAGGGAACATTGTTCTGCTTCAGCTTTCGCAGCAGTTGAAGTTCCTAGCAAAACAGCGTCTTACCATCTCAATCAATTCATTTTTTGACTTTACAAAATTCGCTGGTATGTACCTACCTCAACGATTTGCGATGATCTCTACCCAGCTTTTTCAACGTGAAGTTCCTATCGGTACCCGAGAAGCTCAATCATGGTTATAGTTAATATAATTTGTTAACTATTTAATGCAATTAATGAACGAACTGCACGAAACTATCGTTTGTACTCCGCTCAGTTCTTCATTGATCTGTCCTAAATGTTAGTGTGTCTGGAGTTTATAACATTGGTTTAGAATTCATAAACGGTTGGGAACACTCTTACAGCATAAATTTTCTATACGAATCTAGAATTAATTATAATTTTATTAGCATCGTACCAGATGATGATAATGATTTAGGTAACGTTTAACATCCATCAACCTATACGAAATACCGGCAAAGCCGGCGTTTATCAAAGAACATGCATTGTTGCAAACTTCAAGTAATCACTTAGAAATAAAGAGAGTTAAGCAATGTCGTATGTGTGTGCTCTAGGTGTGCCTGCGCAAAAAAGTTCCCGCCAAAAAAAGATTTATCGGTGAGGCTAGGTTTTTCGTGCTTATTTATTTTGCAAGACACTTTCAATATAGAAACATTTGAACATTCCCGTTGAAAATCAATGTACGAATAAATCTTTCGTTCGTGAAATGTTCTAGTAAAACGATGTTTGCACAGTAACGCGGCTGGGAACTGGATTTTGGTTCATAACAAATTTATAAATCAGGGTGTTAAAAAGATTCTCCTTCCTCTTCTTCTCGCATCGTAAAAACTTCTCATATCGCAATAAGTTTTCTTACTCAAAGAGACTCTAACCCTAAGGTACACCGATATGTAAGCATTCCGGCAGCCTTCTCATAGGACAACACACACTACTGTCCTACAGCTACCGAATATTTTGATGATATAATTAGTTTTACTTGCTAGGCCCATATTAATGAAAAAATGAAGGTATACGCAAGCAAAATTTTTAGTTTTAAAGTACTAACAGCAAAATGCTGTTTACCACACCTTTCATACGTACATATCAGTCGTACTCACACGAACTATTATATAACACTATATTGTATTATATTTGTATTAAACTTGAGTAAACGTTCACGTTTACTTTATCTTAATCGAGAAGTTTTCTTAATTAATTTTGGATTGCGCCTTCCTTGTTTTTGATTTCGTTGATCAAGAATATCGAAACCCTCAAGGCATTTCGAAAACGTAGTTGCTCTCGATGACGCTCATTAGGGCTGTCCCGCACTGTTTAACTATGGATAAAAATTGGCTAAACATAAATGTACATTTGCCTATCGACTGACTATCAGTTAGCATAGCGTCTGCGGCCACTGAGGCAACTGAGGCCCCACTAATCACGATCCAAATGATGGCCGTGCTGCTTTTTCAAAATGGCTACCAATGAAGCGAGAATTTGTGCGAAAAATTCGTGGAAGAATTATTGATACACTTGATGAGCAAACCAATCGATGCAGTGAGGGAAATCCTGGGCCACCTTGAAGATTTTTTCAAGCCTCAGCTTCCTAAATGGACGACCTTCAGTAGCATGCAACACCCTACCCGAAGTTACGAAACCATCTACTTACAGCAGAATAGATATATAAAGTTACACAACATGCCCGTGAAGCTGTTTTAGTCCATGAAAACAGCACAACTCTGTCATGGCATAGCCCAAATGATCTCTATTGCCAATTTCAAGAGCGAACAAACCTGTAGCTTGCCCTCTAGTTACATGGCTTGGGTAATGCGAGTTACTTCCCCCAGCAATAATACTTATGAAGAGGCGATTATTCTCAGGTGTAGATAGGGTAAACAAGAACTTTTTCGAGGCTTAGGCCGTTTCAGGGGGCTCAAACCATATACGATGCACTGCATTAATCAACACTTCGATTAGAGTGTCGCGACTTACAAGCCCTGTAGTCAGCTCCTAATCTCGCTTTCGGAATCTAATTTTTCAACTGCAATCTTATGTGAGCACTGAACTATTAATTTATAGTAATAATAATAACTGTAATAGTTTGTCTAACCTCACTTAACGCGTAGCAACAGACCTCCCTTTCAGTCTTGACTCATACTTAATCTTATTAAGTTAACAAGTGCATATGCAATTCCCGATTTTAGGCAAAAAAAACTCGAAAAATTGAAACCTGCATGATGACGTCATCATCCGAAACGAACTTCAGTCTTCTCTGCATAGACGTTCTCGCACAGATATTGGCATTTTCCCGTTCAGCTGGCTATATACTTACAAGAGTATGTGCGATGCCCTAACGACGACAGGAGCGACACGCCAATCTTATCGAGCGCGATAACAAAGGGCTCGACCCTTGGGGGGGGGTCAGGGCACGACCATACTTGTGAAGAGACTTCCTCGAAACACGGACGATGAAGCCATTAATGCCACTTATATCGTTACTCTATCTTGCACGTCTTTCGCCCTAATCGCAGTAATCGAACTTGTCCGCTAGTTCGCTAAAATTGATGCTGATACCATAGCGTCATCTGATTTACGTTCTTTCCCGATTGAAACGGCAACCTAATAGGCGAGGCAGGCCATTTCCCAATAGAAGCTGCACACATAGAAGCTGGTATCAGTTGTCTACGTGCGATCTTTCACCGTGTCAGATACCCATCGCACATGGGTTCGCGATACGTAGCCAATTGCTTGACATGAGCAAGTCGTAGTATTGGGCACTTGCAGCATTGTTCCCAAGGAAACTTGCTTCCTGTATGCTACTGCACCCACGACGCACGTACTCAAACATCTGTCGACTTTCGTGGTGATTTCTTTTCGCAAATCTCACTTACTCTGTATATGCTAAAAGAATCGTGCATGTAGCTGAAAGATGAAGATCCATTAATACGAGAAGTAGCGATTGGTTGCATATCGATGGAGTGAGCACGCTCAAATGCACACTAGGGGAATTGTTTTTACGCTTGTTTTTTTTAGTACTAATATTTGCAAATAAGATGCAATTCTGATTTATTTTATCGCATCAATGAAATACATACGCGCGAAATAACTACGTACTTTTCTCATTAAGTTCGTTGTTCTTGCCTTCAGTTTTTCTCAAATTTCTTCATGATCGTATTTATTACGCATAACATAATCAGATTACCATACATCTTGTTCAACATTATCATTTATTTGATATTTCTCTTAGTCGTCAATTGTCCACATTCTGTCCCCATGCAGACCTTTGCCTCCAATATCCAATCCCTTCGAAAGCAACGGTGACGATAATGATCCACCATGATTATTTCAAGATATTTGCTGTTATTACCACATGACTAGTGGTCAATATTTTTTTGTCACAGTCGATTATAATAGCAGTTATGCAATTTAAAATAGAAGTCACGCTTGTCCACCTTGTTAATTATTTCAACTTCATATGTCACGTTATCACAATGAATTGATAAAGCTTAGAAATATGTGCTGTTTCTAAAAGTAAAAAAATGATCAATAGCATTGACCATTTTTGTAGGAGAGTATGTAGAAGTTTGAAAATGTTTACCCGTTCTTGTGTTTAGGTTGGCACGTTTGCGTGAGGGTAATGTCTCGACCAAATTTTGCATTCTAATTTACAGGCAAGAGTGAACCCTTCGATTTTCGTTGGACGAGGTTTTCAAATACAACGAAAACCTCGTCCAACGACTGCACACGATCGCGCATCAGTAACAAACTTAGTACTCCTATACGTTCCGCATACGGATAATCTGCGCAACATCAAATCCGGAGGCATCCATAGGCATATTGCATATTCTCCCGTTGTTAAAATGGTACTGGTAGAAAAGAAACGTGAAAATGACTTTGAATACGTTTGCAGAACCCGGGCCGACGTCGACCATTTCGTGTTTGATCTGCAACGAATAATGAGGAGGTCTTTTGGACAGTTTGTGCATACGCACCTCGTCGTCACCGGTTCGCCTAGTTTCAGCTTCTTTCGTCGCGTCGTACACGTGTTGTTGTGTGAACCTTCGGCCCTCTAGATAGTCAGCGTCTATCGGCACGCGTACATCCATATACGTGCAAAATGCGAGCATAAGAAGTTCGGCATCTGTAGGAAGATTTTCGTTCCACGCACCGCTACCTCGACTCCAGTTCACCTTCGACAGAGCGCCGCCTATGCAAAAATCGCGATAGCGATTCACGAGGTATTCTTGGTTAGTGGTAAACTGTAGGAAGGGAATTATTTTATCAAGACCAGGAACCAAATCCGGCCGAGTTTGATATAGGTACTTCAGCTGGTCTTCACTAGCGACGCCGATTAAATTCGGTGTGCCTAGACCACAGTTCAGCATATTTGTGTTGACCTTTGTTATCTCCTCAACGAGTGGGCTAAAGACCCGGATATGGAACCAGAAACGAAGATTACGATTTAATACGAAGAGCTGAAACGGGTCAAGGACAAACAAGCTGCATTGAACGCTGGCGGGACACACCTGGCCGATATTGTCAAGTATCTCTGTTGCACGCTTGTACGGCTGAAATTGATAGAGTCGATGCACTGCCTCGACCCCAGCATCAGCGAGCGATATCGGCATTCTTCTGCCGAGTATACTGAAATCGTAATAGCTTGTTTCAGACGTATAGCCAATAAGCGGGTCAATTTCGTGACTTCGCTCGCGAACAAACGCGTCGGCACTTCTTTCATCTTCAAGGTGCCAATCAGTCGCGCGCGAGTTTGGCTCGATGGTTCTTTGCATAATGGTATCGTAGGCAGGATCCGTCAGTCTACTAATTCTGTTACCTGGCTGGTATTGTCGAAACTGCCATGGGTCGTCAATCGAAGTGTCATTGCCAACTGTATCAGGCGGCTGGCAATCCGAGGGCAAACGAAACATGTCTGCAGTGAATTTGTCCACATCTGTGCATGGCGCTAACGACGGTGTCACGGTTTGCGTATCGGGCTTCAATTTGAAACCTTTATCATCTTCCGAGATGTTAAGAAGTTTGGCGCGGCTGTACTCAATTTCGCATTCGGGTACGATATGGACGTAAGTAAACGAAGCGAAGTGTCCAAGGCATAAGACCAACATTAAGCCGCATATGGCGTATTTTAAGTAACTCACATGTTGCGGTAAAAAGAGTACGCTATTGACTATTGAGCAGTAGTATGTATCTGCATACACGGTAAGCGCAATAATTAAGCAGAAGATAGCTCTGATAGGTCCTCTCTTTCGGGCATCCCGGCTAATGTTTTTATAATAAACTAGCTCTGGATAACAAGGCCATTGGCCTGGCGACGTTTGCACCAACGTTGGCTCCACCATTGCTATCACTGACAAGTTCGATCGTAGCTTCGACAGTATCTGACCTTACCAAGCTTAAGACAGCCTTCAAAAGCTTGGTCAGCAGGTGACACTGCACACAATTGGCAAACTAGTAACGATCTACGTTCACAGAAGCATTTCAACCGCTCCTTAGTGATACTTATACGTGATAAATGAGATTTTTTTTTCTGTCTTATGCTGCAGATCCGCACAGTTACACGACCCGCTGTAAGTTGAACAGAAAATCATTCTTTTACTTTTTGGTAAAAATCACAGAGCTATTGCATCGCCAGTGGCAGCAATTTATAGCTTTCGATATCTTCGTTGTCCAAACGTATCGACAAACGGCTGTCACGGAACAAAAATCACTATAGAGGTCTCTTAGCGTTACGGACATGCAATAAGTTCTCTGATTTATCGTTAACTAACCAAGTGTTATATATCGTCAACAAGCATCATTTGAATAACAAAATCTTACTTGCAATTTTAAACTTCGACAATCCAGACAATGCAAGATCTACACCTTCATAATACGGAACGCAAAATCGAAACGGACCAAGGTAACGAACAATTTAAGGACAGTATTTGGAACGCAGCGAGGTCTAGTAGAAGAAAGTAAAACGTTTGGGGTCTCCTATGTTTTAAGTTGATAGCATCTATGTATCAGTATATACTACACGGTACATACTACAAAATTAATGTGCTAAATACCGTTGTTGAAATGAACGTTATTGTTGGCCGTCGTGAACGAATAGTGTCGAATGGTTTTCAAGAAGTTCTGAAGATTACGTTACGTGAGAAGAGCGCGTTCAAACCATAGTAAGCGAAACAAGACTTCTTACTTTATTAATGTACGGGACGGGAAACCTGAGTGGATTGGTAAGACGCGTGATCTACGAAGATCATGGATTGTCTCACCCAACATTCACATTAAAACTTCTTAGTTGTTTTTCCTTTTTTCTTTTAACTTAGATTACTCAAAGCTTACTTTGGCAATAGAAAGTTCCACGAAAGGGGTAAAAATAAAAAACGAACTGACGCAAAGACCAAAGTATCACAAGCAAAATTACAGCAAGACAACACTAACAAGAAACTTGTTTGGGTTAAATTGATCATAACGAAGTTTCAGCCGGTGAACTACAATTAGACGAACCAATCATGCGCCAGCTGGCCTTAAAAATACGGTAGATATGTGCTTTATTTATATATATATTTAAAACCCGTAAAACTAGACGTTGCTAAACTGTTGTTTTTTGTATTATGTTTACGAGATCGCCTGCTTTTCCCGAAGACCTAGTCGATCGATCGGCAGGCGCGGGTACAATTATCCGACAAAAAATGGAACGTTCTGTTAGTTGTTCCCCTTAAATGTTATAACCCTGAAGCGTTTTCATGCGTATAAAGGCATTCGTTCGTGCAGTAGCAGCTTGACTGGCGATAAAGTACTTCAGAATCGCTGGGTTTGCACTTGATAATAATAATAAGCCCATTGTATTGAACCGCTCGTAAGATTGTGCGTACCTCGTAAATCAGTGAAAATCAAAGCTGAAGGGTAGTAACTAGCCCTTGCCCTTTAAATATCTTAATCGCAAGGAAAAGCTTTTTCCATAAAGCGGCTTACAGAACATACCTCTGCTATTTTGTGCCGTTTTTTTTTAAGATGATCATTATTTAGTTCGCAATGTAGAATATCTAATGCTCCGCCATGTTCTAAATGGCGTTTTCGTCTAGAGCTCTTTGAGAGCTGCACAGTCATTATTGTCTCGTCGAGAGAAATTAATTAATCCCTTGCATATATATTTCTATACGCTGACAAAGTGGAATAAATTATATTCAGTCTAATTATCCCATCACATTTATATATATTGCTGACAAATCGACAATTAACGCTGTCATAATTTACGCTTCTAAAGCCGCCGAGGCGACTCATCGCAAAGTAACTATTGCGGCAACCCGAATATATCTGTCCAACGATAAAATCTAGACAGAGGAAATACAGCAGAGCAACAAACGAATGTCGTGCAAAGATGCTGAAGCTTTTTACCTACTTTTAGGTTAAGCGAAACTTACGTTTGGATACTCGACACGCTGAACGCTGCAAACATAACAGTGTTAAACGACCCTGTTTTACTCAATGATAAATGGTTTACCCTAACACGGAAGTTTTGCTTTGCAGGAAAACCTCGGATAATATTTCCAAAGTATATTATATCAACGCATTGACATTCATCAAAGTGAAGTACGCAATTAAACAAATTCGTCATCCATAGACAAGTCGCAAACGATACTCCTCATGACCAATTCGAGAACTCAGGTCGTTGATACAGGCCCATCTTGGAATCCGGCTTTATTATGCCAGCCACGAAAAACTTTGGCACCACCACTATAAAGTAGATCCGTTTTGCTCCCTCTGAGTGTGCAACTACATAGGACAGGAATTACTTCAGGCCAAATTGGCTTGCGTCCAGTCAATCTGAACACCCTTTACTGTGGAAATCAGTCTCTAGAGCAACACGTAATGGACATTTCTTTTTTTTTTTTTTTACTGAGCAACTCTATTCAATAGGCCAAACAAAATCCGTACAATGATGTTTCATTAAGGCTTTGCTGCAAAGAGTTATGTAACGATTACAGTCCGGTTCGGAGAGCTGACGATAACACGTAGCCTAGTCGGCCGCGCTAACTTCTTTTGAAAATGCTGTCGTCGTGCAACAACTTACCCAGGATCGACTGGATCTGGAAACTAGACACGCAACAATAAAACTTGAATTGTCAATCGCTAGCGAATAGTCAGAACTTTGGAAGAATTGCCATCTGCTTCGCGGAACGAGGCCTGCCTTTCATGCATTTTCTACTTATAATGGATACACGATTGAAGACATATAGTTCTGACGAACTCAATTATTTAATTGCAGGTGAACTTTCGAACCTGTTTTCACCGACTTGACTTTGGATGCAGCAATAATTATCACGAAAAAAAGCAACTGAACAAATCAGAGATTTGGGTTTCCTATTAAATTTTGGGAGGCTTCGGCTTTTAACAAACAAAACTATTAGTATGGTTACAGCAACTTCTCAGATGTAAGTTCGAAGGTCTTTGTAAGCCTTGATCAAGTGTACGGAAGTTTTACCGGCATTGGAGATCATGGTTAAATGTCGGAAGCCTACGTTCGACTCATTGATCAGCTTGTCACTATAGGGAAGCAGTCGAATGTCAAACATGTCCAATGTAAATAGCGTGCCGCAAACTATTTGCAGGATGTACTATCTTAGGTCGCTGCTTTTACCCATCAAAAACACGGGGAGAACTATTGCCTCCTTCCCTCATGTTCTTTCCGACGGCACAAATAAAACATTCATTACAAAAACCTATTATTATATGTTTCAGGCAGTGCCCGCCCTGTCCAACATTTTTTTTTGGGATTGTTGTTCTAAAGAACTATGAATGGAAGTATTTTGATGAGAATTTATACGTCGGATCGATAGGAACAAGGGATTGCGGAATCCCTCTCATAAATCTGCCAACTCTCAATAGCCACTAAATCTCAGCGGGGAGCTTACGAGTACCTGTGGATACGTGTATTCGTAATATTGAACCTTAAGGTTATCGCTGATGGTGCTATATAGTGCGTTATTATGAGTTAAGAGCATCTATTCTTTCATTGATGAATAAAATTGTATTGATTCTAATAGCATTTTTGCGATGTTCTAGTGTAGTTTGGGAACGATTATGGTGAGAAACAAGCAACAACCATTTATTCGCGGATCTTAAACCTATAGAGACACACACACACACACATATATATATATATATATATATATATAGTGGGAAAATCCTTGCTGTAAAAGTTGTTTCTCAAGTTATTAAGTATATGATAACGCAAAAAGTATTAGTAAGTACTATATAACCTCGACTTATAAGTCGAATACGAGTTGTACTTACTCCACTTAAATAGACTGCACTTTCGCAGATAAATATTGAATGCTATTCCTGATGTTGATGGATAAAGGTATAGCACTCTTTTTGGTTTTCTACTCTGAAGCATTGTTTTTCAAGTGTATACCGACCGAAGATCGAGGAATAGGAATGATGACTGCGTAGCGGAAAGCTTCCTTCGTTAGCTGGCCCGCTTTGTATAATCATCCCAATTTATCTAATGCATTTTGTTATCAGTTTTTATGCTGTAATTCTTTAGTTAAGACCTATAAACAGACGCGTCGGCTGCTCGTTGAGTGTATAGCAGCTTGTAATGAAGATTTGTTCCCTTGCTAGGGTTGACAGGTAGACTCGTTGTTAGCACGCTTTTGTTATTTACAGTAGGCGCATCGCTTCTAAGCATCCACTTCTTAGTCCACAATGATGCCGTCACAATATTGACCATTTACAATTTCATAAATCATCATAATTGCTACATAAGTCGTGCGCACCCTATATATATATATATATATATATATATATATATATATATATATATATATAATAAAAAAATTGCGATGAAGAAATTCTATACCGATAGACGAGCTTGGTAGCTAATTTTGTATTCTCAAGACTTAGTGATAGGGCAATATTCGATATTACCTCGTTTGATTGAGAACTGCGATCTGGGTTATCTGGTCAGCTGCTACAGCAGGCAGCAACCTGAACCTTTTTCAACCTAAGACCCAGTAGTACATCTATAGTGGACCTTACCTTAACAATGGATGATTATTTTGTCCCCGGTTTGTCAGCCGACAGATGTTAAGTGAAAGAAGCTCGAATGGATCCAATATCCTATTCGAACCTACTTCTTGCTGAGACTGCCAACACAATCTGCACTTAAAATAGAATTCTCTGGCACCACCATGGCACTTGGGCATATGAGTGTTCTGCGCCTCTTTTATCTAGATTAAGAGCGAAGCAGTGGATTTTTTCTCAAAAGTAAAGGTAGAAAAAAAAAGGTAAAGTCGGGTTATCATATAATTGTACTTAGTAAAGCCACGCGACGCTGCAAAGAAACCATCGAACGAACTTAGGTGTATCTTCCAAACAACAATTTGAAGGGCTTAACAGTACGTATCCTATGACGTTGACAGTGTACACCACAACTTGAACAGAACGGCCCGTAATCATTGGTCCGTAGAGCGCGCCAACGCAGCCGAAAGACCAGTAAATTACTAATACATTCAACATCTTGTCATTTTTTTCAGTGCAGGATGTATTCAGCCGTATATCTCCGCATGATCCTACTGTAGTATTAGTACCTGCCTACCAAGCGGACAATGCTAATCTCGTGTTAACGCGTCTTCTTTTTTTGCCCTTTCCTTCCCTGTTCATTTTGCCCAGGGCAAACCAATCACGTTTTGCTAACTGACGACCCAACATCAACCTACCCAGTTACCGGTGGGTAACTATGCATAAAATACCTTTTCGTTCTTTCCTTGCCAGAGCGTCCATAGGATAATACTGCTTCGTACCAGTGACAGCCCCGCACGCCCGTGTTCAACACAGCCAGCCATACGCTTTACGAAAAGATTTTCCCTTGACATAGCTTCCCTGCAGATTTCAGGTCTGTATGTACACAATATCCATGGATAATAATACATATTCTATTTCTCATTTGTGGATATCCCGCGTCTCGGCTCAGTTCCACGTCGTCGTGTATATTCTGCTGCCGGTTTCTGCTACGCTTATTTCCCTCAGCTGCCGCGGGGCGCTACGGTGGCTTAATTATTCTTCTCATCGTCAAGGATAAAAAAATTAAATTGACAGCAGAAACCCTGCAGATGGGCCGGTATTTCGTCAGAGTTCATTTTGCTTCTTCGTTAATTAACTCAAGGCAATGTACAATGCCGTTATGCGCAGAGCGTACAGACAGCAAGGCTTCGATGGGCCCGCAGTTTGTTTGGGGGAAAAGTGTCGAACTGCTGAGAAGGAGATTGGTCCTCGGGATTATTGTCCTTGTCGAGAGCTTAGCTAAAGATTGTCGCTAAACGCTTACTCAAACGGAACTATGTCTAAACCAGTAGGCGGTTACGGGAAAGGGCGAGATAAGGAGGTCATCAAGGTTGCTGGAGGCTTCCAGTAAAATGGGTGCTAAAGGTCTGCGTCTTACGGAATATTACAGATGCTAACAGACCGAACAGCCCGAAAGAGATAGCTACAGACAGGAGACATGAGGACATGATTTTGCCTCTACACGTATATATTACGTATCCATCTTGATGGGGTTACATACCTGGCTTGGAATAAAATAATCGCTTGCAAATTGATTTTAAATATTACGAAAACCGATACAGGAACTGTAGTCAATTACAAAGACGGAACCGTCCTTCCAAGTACAACGCAATGCACATCTGTCCAAGCTGTAAGGCTATTATGGGCCTATATGTCGGAATTTCCGCTTTATTTCACAGTTGGCGCAACGTGTCTGCAGGAGCGTGCTCCACGTCTCAAAACTCTTTTCGAATTTTGTCCAGTGTTTGATGGACAAGTTGTGTAGGACAAACAGGCAGGAGGCGTAAGTACGATAGAAAACGCAAATATATAACGGTAGCTTTGCATTATTTTGCTGTTCTGTATACAAGATCGTGACTTGAGACATGAGATTCGCTCGATCCAAAGAGTAATTGAGACATATCGATGAACTCCAGCATTGTCATCACGTACTGCATGTTTTTGATTGCCGTGCCAACGGCCCTTTAAGCTTCTTGAGGAACCTGAAACAACGAGTTGCATTCATTGTTTCATTTTCGGTGAATATCTCATAGTTACATTGACACCATAGAGGTTTACTTGACATTGCCACCAAACTCGATTTCTTCCCTGGGTGACGCCACCCTTTCGCCTGGTCCTTCTCCGGCTAATGCCAGAGATTGAACCATGCTTTGTCTCTACTGACCGTATGATACAGACGAATTTTTTCTGTTGATTGAAGTTTCGCAAATTGCACGTCGCATACATTACGTGCATCTCCAACTGTCCTGGAGTCAACTCACGCAAACCGTAAGTCAACGTACATTGGCGTCAGGTGCATTTGCTCGAATCGTCCGATCTGGCAGCTTTCAGTTTGTGGGGCGACTTCGCGCCAACTTGGCTTCTACCAGTACCTAAACTGATATTTAAGAAGGGAGATTTTTAGCGCTGGAAATTATTGGCAAGCATACTATGTCTATTAACACACAAATTATTAATATTAGCAAAAGATTTGGCAAGCAGAGAAACCGCTGAAAGTCAGGTCTACAGATTCTCTGGCAATCAGGAAAAAAAAACGTAAAGGTGTATTGCCTAATGCTTTGTACAAAGTGGTGTTCGTTTGAAAATTATTCCTCTTTTAATTCGGGTAATTTTCATGGTAGCGAAAATATTTCTGCTTTATAAAACATGCTTATTGGAGTACCGCGCATAGTTCGCAGAAGAACGGCAGAGTTATAAAGAAGAAATGAACGCTTCAGTTTATTATAATCTGCTACGTGTTACTTTATGTGTGTTCATTCACTTGGCCTTTAATGCTGCAAATAAAAGACGTTTCCCATCGGAATGCCTTGATACTAATACCCGGCAGGCTGGATCGCAATTTCCACTCCTCTTAGGTCCACTTAGATGCAAAGCTTGCCACCAGGGGATCGATGAGGCTCTTAGTGCACTTTAATCCCTCCAAAAACCTAAGATTCACCTATTTCGAACTATCTAAGTTGAAAGCATGTACCTTATAGATGGACATATTTACAATAGGCTGACAAACAAAGGCGAAGAATCTTGTTTTCTGTTACAGCCACTAGAGAGCTGGTCCGTTGCAATCGTTGACAAAGAGACACAACAGATAATCTAATAAAAAAAAAATCATAATTGCCGAAAGATGGAAATAGTACGTAACCCATTTTTCATTAATTCCTTCTTCGTTGAAGAATTACCCTGTAACAGATCATGCAATACGACATACGTTACATATCCTTATTTACGATCAGTGTTAAGTTTATAGGTAAGTGATGTGATTGAAGGTATCAGACAACCAATATTTGCCACAACTGTTCCGGACAACAATTTGTATTGGCGCCCCACATATATTTGTGCACTGTACATACCGGAAGATAGAGGTCTTCAAGATGTGTCAGATGTACGTGTGTGGGATCTCTCAACTTACCACGCTAACACCGAACGGGATGACGTGGAACAACGACTGGGAAGGAGCGCGTCAGTACTACATAATTCTCCATACTGTTTTTCCCAGTTACTGCGGAAGCGTTATCTCTGTCATGTAATTTTTTACAGAAGTGTAGCAAGCGAATCACTTTCTCAGCAGAATGATGCAGCAGCTAATACCTATATTGAAACTAGCATTGGCGCCGCAAACGTTCTATTGACGTACAAATGGAATATGCAGCCATCTTGTTAAGGATCGCAAGTCGACAACATAGAATCGCTCTAAGGTTGTGCTTTATAACTCGGCGCTTTTATACTTGAACTCGCTTATCTAGTGTTGATAGCCACAAAAGTTCAGGCAAGCCAACTTAATATATATATATATATATATATTAATATAACTTAATATAACGCTGACTCAGTCACGTTTCCACTAAAATGTCCTACATGCCGCTTGATTAACAGTGGTCGTTCTACTTATGCCGAATAGAACGTTTCATATGTAATACTCGAGGAGATTTATTTGGAACGCAAATGCAAATAGCTCTACAGTGATTATAGTTCATTACCTAACTCCTAAAATGTTATCATCACACCTATTCACACTTATATAGTACTTGTGCACCAGCATTGCTTCAATAGCGATCGATTGAACACAGAAGGGCAACGTGCGCAACAAGGAATTCTCTTAGAAACAGGCATATACTTACATCGTTATAGCTTTTCGGCCTGGAGTGCTAAGCCTCGCCTCAGTTAATAGGACCGGCAGGTCGACGTTAGCGTGTTGGGATTCCCTAAACATCAAACCGTTCAGATGTGTCCATTCAGCGTATGAGTGTCTGTGTATACGGGCGTTGTACGTTATGCTGGGAAGTTAATGAGGCGTGGCTGAAAACTCGTCGGGTCCCGAGAATCTGACGGTCAGAAAAGCCAGGAAGGGGGCACTGGCTAGTCTCGGCAATCTGCGCTCCAGGACGGCCTGTCTCGACCCTACGCCTAATCTGCCTATGAGTTTTGCGAATACACTTAGCACTATAGTCGCAGCAATAATCCCAGTTGCAACGATGGATGTCCGCATTCGAATGGTTTCGCAGCCCTAAATAACATAGTCAGGCCAAACTGAACTGGTAAAGTCGCCCAAGAAACCTCTTTCCAAATAGTTCGACAATGGTAGGCTGCTTTGCCGTGTGTTGGCCTTCTGGTCTGCTAGTAGATGACGCCATCCTCGTCAATGGTACATTCACGGTACATTTGCCCCAACAGACCTGTCACTCGGCAAGAACGGGGGGGAACATCTTCGAACACAGCATTAATTCCGATTGGCCGGCACCTCGCGCTGTCAAACCAATGGAGAATACAATGTCCTCTTTTTCGTTATAATAACGATTTCTAAAAAAGTAGTTTTTACTGAAATCGACTTTCGATGAATTTAAGATGACGCACAGGACTAAAAATAAATACAATGCACATTTTATCGATTTAGTTTGCTCGAATGAGTACATATCTTTTTTTATTATGACTATTATATGCTAACTATAATGGCAGACAAACTAGCAGCGTATAGATTTAAATAACCAGCGACACGTATAGAATGATTTCGTAGTTAGAGTTGCAACAGAAGCAGTGGCGATGTATGAGGCGGAAGGAAAGTTACTTTGAGAGAGGGGCAGCCCAATGACCTATACGATCAAATTCCACAAAGGGCAAAATAATGATTTCCTCTTTCTACGCCCATCGCACGTCCCACTACGTCAGCGGTCTGCTGGAAAATCTCCACCCTCTATATCGTAAAAAATCAGGCGCAGCATGTCAGCAGCAGTGCACTTCATACCGACATTGTCCCGAAACGGAAGTTTTCAAGGGTAACGCGTCTGTGCATAAGCATTAGGTAGTATACATGCAAGGCGCACTTTACACACCTAGAATACACACTTTGTTCGTGCTGGAAAGCTGGCTCACGGTGATTT